AGGGAATACCAGAGGAATGTCTATCTGTGTTTCATTGACTATGCAAAGGCATTTGACTGTGTAGACCATAACAAACTGTGGCTGACTCTGAGAAGAATGGGAATCCCAGAACACTTAATTCCCATAGATTAAGAAATTATTTTTTGGCAGTATAAAATGCACCCACCAAGAATCTATGAGAAATTAGAACCTTCTTGTTTATACTATTCAACAAAAACCCTAGAATGCATTAGGCTCTACCCTTAAGAGTATAGAGAGGACAATTTATGATGACAGAATGTTTACTAGGAGTGAGACACTGTGCAAAGGTGTTTCACTCACATTATTTATTACATCTTCACAAATAACAGATTAGGTACCATTAATTTTCTTTTGTAAATCAGGAAACAGAGGTTCAAAGACATTAAGCAATTGGTTCAAGGTCACGTGGGTAGCAAGTGGGACACTCTCAAGTCTCTGCTCTTAATTTACTATGTTAATGGGGAAAGGCAGGGTGTTTATGAGGTTACCCAATGTGCTTAGACAGATGCTGCACCAGATACACAGACAGACAAAGAGCCATGGGAAAGGGCAGAATGAACAATTCAGACTTAAGGAAGGGAAGAGGTGGGCTAGCAGTAATGTAACAGATGAAGTGACATTTAATTTGAGCCTTGAAGGATAAGGAAGAGAGAATGGCATCCCAGGTAATGGCAATCATAGAAGGGGCAGACAAACCTATTTTGATAATATGATTGGAAACCATTAACACCAAGATATAGCTGAGGAGGCAGCAAGAGGCAAGTAACATAGATGGAGAGAAGAAGGAATGGAATAAGGTTGCTGTGAGATGTGTAATTGGAAGGAGGAATTTTTGAAGAGCTCATAGAGGGTTCTGGTAAAGCAGGAGGAACCTTAGATTTTCTTTCAGCCGATTAAGAGTCACATGTATAGCTATTACTTAAAAAGTATTTTTACATCTACTTTTTAATATGTAAAAATCACCAGCAGATGAAAAGTCACCAAAGCCCCTCAGAGGTGGTATTGCTTATGCAAAGTAAAAAATGACTGTGTCTGACATAAGTATATACAGCCAAGATGGTCTTGGGATTTACTGTCATTCTCAGTGTCAGTGTCTCCAGCTTACGACTTCTGACTTCAAGGATGCACTTCAGGCAAGATGCGGTAGGTGTCACACTACAGAACTGGTATTTAACAGATTCTGCTGGATGGACCAACAAGCACTTCAACAAGTAAACAAGAACCACCTTGCTGTCATTCTTTCCTTTTTTGTCAGTTTTATTTCTGTCAAGTAATTAAAATTCTTCTTTCCCTTCTTTTTTCTAAGCTCCCGGGCATCATGGAAGTCTCCCTCATGATGCTTATTTGAAAAGATTCCTGCTCTTTGTCTTCCATAATGCCAAACATCCTGGTGAATACTGAATAATAAACAAAACGAGCCAGATGTCTGGGCACCAGGAGCCTTATGTAATATGCAAAATATCTACATACTGTCTTGTTATTTTAAAGTTCTAATCTAGGCATGTATCATATTATCTGAACAATTAATGAAAGGGCTCATCCTTTTTTAAAAAATTACATTATTTCTAGATGTTACTCTGACATACTGACATGATGTCAGCTCAAAGATGAAAAGGCCAACACTGGCCAGTTTCTCTCACTATGCAGGATCCTAACAGTTCAGATGAAAGCCTAACACAAAAGGGCCTTGTTAGAGGTATGTGCTACAATCCCCAGCCTGAAAGAACTCTTTAGATTATAAGCATGGCATATATAGTATCCAGGTTTGTGACTTGAGCCTTTGGTGAAAACAGTCAAAGACAAAAACCTAAAGTATTTCAGGTCAGAACCAGCTTGTCACTTCAGCACTGTGACAACTGTTGCAATCAAAGGGCTGGCCAGGTTCTCCTTCCTGGTTCTCCTGAGTGACCACCAGGAGGCAGAGTGGTGCCACAGAAGGTCATGCGCTTAAGCAAGAAGTCACAGTTAAAATTCCGTCTGATTCAATTCCCTAGTATGTGTGGGACCTTGAGCAAAGTGCTCACCCTTGTTTTCTGATCTGAAAAGAAAAAGTCTGATAGGATAAATTTGAGGTTCATAAATGGGTATGTATGGGTAAGTCTTGCATAGGATCCTTTTGAGGGATATTATTTGGTATTCTACTTTGTGCACTGAGAGCTATTTAGCCTGAGACAAGCTGTTTTACCACTTTGGGCTTCAGGGTTCACATCTGTAAAAGATGCAATCTTTTCAGAGTGGTTATGGTGAAGGACAGCTAACAAGCAGAAAGCATCATCAGAATGGCTTCTCAGCAGCAGATGTTCACAACAAGGTGACTATTGTTACCAAATACTGTTAGCCAATCAGAAAAACAAAAAGCACATTTAAAAAACCCAGGTATCTGTGTCCATTATATTTCTTTCAATACAAAATAAATTTAACCACATTACTTTAGTGTTTACAGATTGCTCTGACTTATGCTGTTGAATACTAACCTGAAAATGGGGGCTAGATACACACTTGGCAATTTGTTTAAACAAAGGTTCTTGAATTTTAACAAACTGTGAAGGTTCAATAACATCCAATATTTCTTCCAGCTCCCCAAGAAACATAACCTGTGAATACATGAAAAATACAGAATGTCAGGTGCTTCATTAAAAACCTATCTGAACAATGTGGATTAACATGAGCCATTTTAAGAAAAGTTTATAACTATAAAATGAAAATAAAATTAGATCAGACATGACTTCATAGTTCATTTCACAAAGAATTCACAACAGGATTATTTCATAAAAGTTGTCTAGAGCACTAAAAATAGGATTCTATTTATTTGGAATAAATACTTAATGTGCCACATCTATTACACAGAATAAGCACTACTTGTTTGCATGGAGCAGTGGGACCCACTAAAAAAACAGAACTTTCCCTTTGGGGCTATGGACTGCTCTCACTTCAGTTATGTGCCTTCTGCTGTTTTTCCTTAAAAAAAATGCAGGTCTAACCTGCACAAAAGTGCAAAAAAGCAAAAAAAGCGAGCAGAAGTACACAGAGTCAGTCATCTAGTATTTATCAAAACCAAAGTCATTGTGGTCAAACTGATTCTGACTCCCAGTGAGCATATAAAATAGGGTGGAACTGCCCAATGGAAGCAGACTGTCACAGCTTTGCCACAGAAGAGCTGCTCATTTCAAACCAATGACCTTTTAATTAGTGGCCAAGTGCTCTGACCACTGTGTCTCTGGCCTCCTTCCAATACATACAGCCTCTGCTATGACCATGTGCTCCTCTACCTCTAGGATGCGCCAGTGAACACCATTAGTGCAGGCTGATCCGTTCTCTCTGGACATACACACATTATACAAGATAATCAATCTTACAGCCTCTGTATTGAAAGCCTTGGGAAACATAGCTATCACAAGGACAATCAAATCAATAACATAGTTAATTGTTTTTAATATAAGGGAAAATAAAAGCTAGTCGCCTGTTTTGTCATGGAAAAAAAAATTACCATAGAAAAAGCTAAGTGTACAAAGAACAGTTTTCACATCTTTAGATGCATGTGGGAAGCAATGCATAGTTTAATTTTATCGAGCAGGTCGTAAGAAAGGAGATGATTTCCTGAAAATCTGTCAGGTAACGTTTTGGAGACCTGAGCTGACATGCAAAAGTATTTCTGTTACAAGCAAAATATAGTAGGTAGATCTCATCATTTGTCAAGAGCCACACAGAAGTTCTCCTTAAATCTTCCTAAAATGTAAAATTAATAGCTAACCTTTTTTTTCTAGGTCACTGTCCACAAAGAACCATGGTTTCTAACCTTTCAGAAAAGAAGCTGCTGATCTGGTGCCCAGCTAGGCTCCCTGCCAAGCTAAGAGACTCACTCACCCAAAACAACCTCACACAGCACATGCTTGCTTAGGTCTTGGCAACAGTACAAATGACAGGATGTCACAGACCTCCACGGTCACTTGTGAACAGCTGAAACTAAAGGCCCGTTCTAGATTCTGAGATTACTCACAGGAAGATCTCATCTATATTATGTGGCTGTGGGGGAAGTTTGGTCAAGACAGAAGCTTCTCCTTCAAAACAGCAATACCTCTTCATGAAGGCAGTCACTGGGCAGGTGGCGTGGGAAGGTTAGGAAAAGACCATCAGGCTTGAGGTATGTTTGTCTGGGCTTCCCTGGAGCCGAGCAGCATAACAGTTAAGAGCCCAAGAGTTCCAGGAATCAGAAAGGCAGATTCTGGCTTAGTCAACTATCCCAAGTGGACTTGGGAAGGCTCAATTTCGAAGTCTCAAGTTCAGGAGAAGTGAAACAAAGCATTTAAAGTCTGGCCTTCCAGAGCTAGATGACGACTGTTGTTTTGTTGTGTTTTGTGTGCCACTGAACTGGAACCAACAGATTTCAGAGGCAATTAATCACACAGGAAGATACTACCCATCTTTCTCCCATGGCACAGCTGATGGATTGAAATCACAGCTGAACCTTCAGCAGATTTTCAGAGGCAATTAATCTCAGAAGAGAAGACTGCTCATCCTTCTTATACGCAGCAGCTGGTGGATTGGAACCATGTGCCTTGAAGACTGCAGTGCAGCTTCTTTCCACTAGGCCACCTGAGCTCTGGATGAGATGAATGACTTTCATTCATGCTTAGCCCAGTGCCTGCCACTCAGGAAAGTCCTTCATAACCTGGCAACAAATACTCTGATAAAAAGCACTTACCTCTTTTTGACTACATGTTTTGGGCCAAAATTTCATTAATCCCCTAATAACCTAAAATAGAAAGAAGGAAAAAAAAGGGAAATAAAAAATAAGTGGCATGTCATTTTTCATATATACTTCCAAGAAAGGTATTCTTTCTTTCTGGGGTTTTATGAAAGTATGGAGAGAACACTTACTGGTTCTGTGAGTGAAGGATCTTTCTCCAGAAACTGTACTATGCAATATGCCAGCTGAAGGGGAGGGGGGAGAAAAGAAAAAGACAAAATTATAAAATCTATATGCTAAAGGTTCAAAAGAGGTATTATTAAAATTTCCTTAAAAGCTGCCAGACTCTGGTTTTAATAACTTCACATTCAATTTCTGTCAACTACCATTAAAATAAAATGCACTTAAAAAGGCAAAATAAAAAGCTATGTTTGCAAGCCAAAGACTGACACTAATAAAGCTCCAGGGGAATTTAAGAAAGGAGAGACATGGAGTGTACTAGAATATGAAGACTCCGGCTAATGAAAAGCAGACGTGAGGTATCAGTGTGTTTGAAAACTCTCTTGTGGTCTGAACTACATCTCTGGCTGAAGGCTCTAAAAGGTCTACCCCTTTCCCACACTCCACCACAAGCCTCTTTTCTCTCTTGGCTTATATTGAAAGTACTGGGGGTTTGTTGTGGCTCCAGAAGAGTCCTAGACAGAAGTAGGCACTTAATAAAAACCTTGCTGAATGCCTGAAATGGCATACCCAAACTCAAGAGCAGTTTTGTAAGTAAATCATAAGTTGTGCCTATCCAAGTTAGGAAGAACCTGGAGGAATGTAATAGGAGTTCTACATGGAAAGCTAATTCATGAAGGGAAAAATTCTTTTTAAAGATGCCTAAACATGATACTCTGTTTCAAATACAAATGGCAAGCTCTGTTAATAGCTTGTAAAAATTCCTGGACCCAAAACCTACCCTTGCGAAACATTTTGATCATGTTTTGTATTAGAAACATATGGGCTAATTTTCCTCGAAACACGGCACTTCACATTTAAACGGGAACATTGCTTAGAAAAATGTGTTATATTTTTAAGCAAACTCAAAACATTCCCTTCGAGGGGAGGAGGGAGTCAGAGGTCGGAAACACTAAAGTTTAAAGTGCCAGTTTATTAACCTCCTAGTGGCATGCTCACCATGCAAGGCAGTGTTAGCAAGGAAATTAAGAGTGGGGAGAAGAGTGGGGTGTGCTTTTTTAGGTAACAAAGGCAAGGGGGGGGAGACAAATATTGCCTGATTACTTGTGAGAATGTTTATTTGTGTGGAAAAGACACTATGTATAACCTAGAAAGGACAGAAGGGCAAATGACAGGTAACTTCAGACTGAGGGTGGCACTAAAATTCTGAAAGGTTATTACATGTGTCCAAAGCTTTAAGTCTGAAAAGCCCACATACACTTCATAGTATCTAACTCTTTCAGTATCTAATTGTATAAGCTGAGGCAAGACATGGAAATGATAAAATGAAATGGCTTGTCAAAGGCTCCTCCCACCTTAAAGACAGCCCCATAATTCCATTATGTACAGGAAAAAGATATGTATGCAATTTCACTTCTCTTATGAAGTACTTAAAGCTTTAATAAGTTTTTATGTTGTTGTTGTTTTTAAGTTAAGGAAACTATTTGGCAATGTTAAAAAAACCCTGCATTTCAAAACATTTTATTTGCCTCCAGAATTAGTTGTACAAAATTCTACCTGAGCATGGAAGAGTGATAAACTCCTGACAGTGTGTAAAGGGATCAACACTTTCACCAGAAACTGTTTGTGTTCTGCCTTAAGAGGTAAAGCAAAGCCATTGATAATACTAGGAAAAAGAAAAGAGACACGAATTAGCACGTTACCACAACAAGCTAAACTGAGAGTCAGTCACTGTGAGATTGGTTAAATCTTAATCAGTTTATACTGGTCAATAACAATTTCAAACCTCCCCAAAGCATTCAAGGTTTCTTAGTCACTTCAAAGAAAGAAAATCTGCTCAGGACCACCCAGCAAAGACACTGTGCTTTTAGTTCCTAAAACCTTTGGTATCCAAAGCCTTTTATGTCTTCATTTTCCCACAAATAACTGCATATCTTACTCTCTTTCTCTTTAAATAAGATTCTTTCCATCTCTAGACTTCATTTCCTTTCTATTCCTGAAATTTCTGCTAAAACCAAAACTAGGAGAAAACGTGCATGTCTTTACCTTCTTTGTCTCCTCCTATTAGGAAGAAAGACAAAGCAATCACTTAGCCTCTCTTAAATGTAGAAAGCTACACTCTCCGTCTATTAATTTTATTACTCTAGGTTGCAGTTCTCAGAAAATATCAATCCTTTCAAATGTAATGTAAACTTGGCTTCCTACAGATAATGCAGAGGAAAAAAAAAAGACAGGTAGTCGTCTAGAGATTAAGGCAAATGAGGTGTCTGGTAGGAAGTGGCTGACCAGCATCAAATGGATCAGCTCTACAGTGATGAATGAATGAACTGGTACCTCTCAATCATTCCTGTGAAACAACAATGTCTAATTGCTGAACAATTAGGGACTCTGGGAATGGGGCAGCAGGCTTATAAAGACAGATGGGAAACATGCTAAGCACAAATGAGAAAACCAAATGTACATACAGCAAGAATTCTAGGTCAGCCTTTTCACTGTGCCCCTGAACCTAATTTTCAGAATGATATTCACCTGTGATTAGCAATTAGCTAAAAATGTGCTTACCTTCCTAATATTTCCAACAGTTCAGCTACACCATTGAAGTGTTCTGTTTCATAAACAAACCTATTAAAAAAAATAAAGATATAAAGACAATTATATTAAGTTCAAATTTCTTATTTATCTAATAATTTCTATAAACACAGTAACTTTTCCTCTCTTTCGCTCTCTCTCCTCACCCTCTACTTACCTTAGAAAAATATTGTTAATCTGTTTTCGGATAAATGCTCTAAGACCAAGAAACTTGCCGTAAATTCTGTGTAAGACTGTTTTTAAATAGTCTCGTTCCCGAGGGTCTTCACTGTCAAATAGTTCCAAAAGCTGGAGTAAATAAAAGACAGTTCTAGTCAGAAGTGGTTTCGAGAAGATACTTGAGAATTCTGTAATTCATTATTTAACATGATCCCCTGGCTTGCTCCAGAATGTATTTTCTATCTATTCCATGCCAGAAACAATATCAGTCTCTGGGAATACAATGATAAGAAAGTTAGACAAGGTCTCCCCTCAAGGTTTATGTTCAAGACAAGAGACACGCAGTAATATCACTAATGACCACCACAGATGACAGAGTCAACTGTGACTATCAGGCACAAGTGAAGCAATTAACATTAATCCTCTCTACGTATGGTTCATACTTTTTTCGCAGATAAGAAAACAAGTCCAGAGAGGGTAGGCAACTTGCCATGGTCTCACAGCACAATCAGTGGTGGAAATGGATTTAAATCCAAGCAATATATGCTCATGATCTCAACTCTGCCACATTTTTGACCAAACATACAGTTAAGAAAAAGTGTTTGTCACTCTGAGTATATCCAGAAAAATGAAGCAATCTAAACCAAAACAAACATCAAAAAGTTCCCAATGATAGAGACAATGCCCCATCTCTGGAGATAGGTTCTTGTTACAGAGGTGTGCTCATCTTTTACAAGTTTATCAAGCTGAAGATTTACGATTTTTGTGTAGTATGTTATACGTTCTGAAGAGATCTATAATACAAAGTCGGTAACATGTCCCAGTAAGATCACGTGAATGACAAGAGCCCATGTAACTCACCCAAAAGATGTAACAGCCAACATCTTAGGCTAAGTGACAGCAAAACTACATATTCAAGAACTATAAAGAATTCCAATCATCTCTACCCCCCCCCCCCCCGGAAACTAGCAAACTGACCCTAAAATTAATATGAAAATGGAAAAGGCACAGAACAGATCCTAAAATTCTATGGAAATCCAAAGGATTATATGGAATTCTATAAAGCTAAATCAAGGCAGTGTAGTATTGGCATAAAGACCGATAAACAGATTATATGTATATAATACGTGTGTGTGTGTGTGTGTGTGTGTGTGTGTGTGTGAGACAGACAGAGAGAGAGAAAAAGAATAGACATTGGCGAGCTCTGGTGGCCTAGTGGCATGAAGCTGTGCTGCAATCCCAGAGGTGCACAGTTCGAATCCACCAGATGCTCTGCTGCAGAAGGAGGGGCAATCTCCTCCTGTATGTGTCAGATTAGACTTGACAGTACATACATTTAAAAAAAAAAGGATAGACATTATAACAAGGAAAAAAGCCCCATAATCTTCCACATTTATGGTCAATTGATTTTTAATGAATGTCAAAAAGAGTTGGAAACAACCTAAGTGCCTATCAACAAACGAATGAATAGAGAAGCTCTAGTATATTCACACAACGGAGTATAATGCTGCATTGAAAAACAAGGAACTCATGCAATATAACTCAAAATGGGTGACCTTGGAGGACATTATGCTGAGTGAAGTATCTCAGTCACAAAAGGACAAATACTGCATGGTGCCACTGTTCTAAAGCAGGTCTGACATCGGAGTTGGGGGGGAGACCGCAAAAGATGGGTTATATAATATATACTGCATTGAGACAGACGAGGGAGAAAACTGTTTGAAAGGGATATGTGATTGGCTATTTTTGTCATGACAGGTGTCTAGAGCGAAGGCTACATGGTGGAGTGGACCCAGGGGAGGGATTGTAAAACAATGAAAGAATTTTTCTTTTACTTTTCCAAGAGGGTAGTGTACTAGAGGGAAGGGTTGGGCGGGGAGAAAAGTGCAACAATGAATGAATGGAAATCCAAAGTCTCTATAAATTTTCATTGAAATTAATAATTAAAAAAAACATGAAAAGATATCACATGAAATAAGAAAAGAAATATTTACAACCTCATAAGGAACTTCTATCAAGAATATATAAAGAACTCTTTGTTTCCTATTGGCATCAAGCAATGACAGTGACAGCATCCTTTCAAGGGGTTTCTGAACCTGTAAACCACATGAGAGAAGTTTGCCCTGGTAAAGAAGAGCCACTGGTAGGTAACCTTGAACTGTCAGACAAAGTCTTTGGGTTAGCCATGCAACGCCGATGGACTACATCATCAGAGCTCCCTGAAGAATTCTACACCACAATAATAAAAACCTATGGATAGAGGATTTGAACAGCAATGTCTCCAAAGAAAATATACAAACAACAAATCAAAACCAAATCTACTACTATCAAGTCAATTCTAACTCATTATGAGCTTCCACTGGGCTTCCAAGTGGGAACATTTTAACAAGAAGAAAGGGTAACTTTAAGTGTTGAGGAGCTTCCAGACTATTTTCCAAAGTGACTGCACATTTTACATTACCATAGGGAGCAAGATGGACAGCACACTCCCGTGGGATTTACTACCTGCGAAACCCACATGAGGGTCAGCTGTGAGTGATTCTGACCTGACAGCACATTAACAGTAACAGCGTTGTTGTGTATCACTGGGTTGGAACTGCCCCATAGCTGATCTTCCAGTGGTTTTTCAGAGGCAGTAAAGTGACTGGGAAGAGACCATCCAACTTTCTTCCACAGAAATGGGTAAATGGATAAGGTTCTTATTTCTCCACATTCTTGCCAACACTTGTTATTTTTCTTCTTTTTGCTATAGTCACCTCTGTGAATGTAAGAAGTATTGCATTGTGATTTTTACTGGGGAGCTCTGGTGGGCTAATAGTAAGAAGCAGTGCTGCAATTCCAAAGACATGTGGTTCAAATCCACCATTTGTTCCATAGGAGGATGGACATTCTCTTTCCATGTGATTTTACTGCCTCTGAAAACCTGTGAGAGCATCAGCTATGGGTCTATTCAACTCGACAATATTCAACAACAACAATAGTGACAGCAATGATGGGCTTTAGTGTGTCACGTGGCAGAGACTGAGGATAGCACTGAATAAGACAGAGTTTTGGTCAAGTCAACTTGACAGCATCTGTCAACAAGTCGTCCTATTGAACACATTTTCATGTGCTTACTATTTATAAAATGAACTCTGCTTGCACAGTAAGTTACGTTTCAGGCTGCTAAGTGAAAGGTCCACACCACCAGAGATCTTATGCTACTGATACGATGTTTTGTATCACCGAGTCGCAAGTGACTCACAGTTGACCCTGTAGTGGGTTTTCAGAGGCAGTAAATGGCACGGAGGAGATGATTACTGTGCAATTGTCCCCCATACAAGTATCTGTTCACAGAGGTTCCAATAGTGGCATTATTCATAACAGCCAAAAATAGTGATAACTGCATGAAATGTCCACCAACTGATGAATGGATAAACAAATTATGATGCAATGGAATATTATGTGGTCCTAAAGAAGAGCAAAATATTCTTTATGCTGTAACATGAATTAAGTGTTCAAATATTCTATGAAAAAAGCCAGGCACAGAAAAGGCGCATATTATGCTTCCATTTACAAGAAATGTCAAGAAATCTAATCATCCTCAATAGAGAAATACATAGAGATGGAAGTAGAATAGGGGAATGATTATTAACGGATATTCAGATTTCTTTGGACATGGTGAAAATGTTCTGAAATGACATATTAGTGACAGCTACATAACTGTGTGCATGTATTATAAAAGGTTGAATGCAGTGAATCTTATGGTTTAATATCTCAATTACTTTTAAAAAATTACAATTGACAGGGACTTGTGGCTGAAGAAAAACTTGAAGGCGAGCCTGGATTTTACTGTTTCTCATATTCGCAAGAAAGTAAAACTCAAAGTCCTGATGTCTCTGTAGCAAAGCATTCCAAAAACATTTAAGTAGTATATGACTAAAAGCAGACCACCTAACTTATACAAATGTTGAAGACATACAAAAGTCTGACTTCAGGTGAGTAAGATATGCAATTGAAACTGGCAGCAGAAGAGTAACTCCACGTAGGCAGTATCAAATGAAGTATCTGCTTTTGTCTTGTGGTTTTGTTTACACAAGAGCCATAATTATGTACCATGCTCCACCCACTCACACTCCAAGAGGAAAAAATGACTAGAATAACTGCATGAGGCACAAACAAGATTCTCTTCAAAAATAGTGAGACAAAATGTAATTTTTCTCACCACAAAATACTGCTCATTCCTTCATTCAATGATTAAAAAAAACAGTTCAAGCAAACAGTTATTGACTCTCGATTAAGGACCATGAGGAGCCCTAGCAGGACAATGATTTAAATGGCCAACTGCTAAATGAACACTCAGAGATGTGAATACACTTTGTGGGACGGAGATGTGACAGTTGCCTTCAATAAAGTTAGGTTTGTTGATTATCTCATTGAGAGACTTCCTTTCTTTAAAGGACACTCTACCAAGCACAATGTCATTCCCCCCAAAGTATGTGCAACAACGTGTCATAATCCTCGCTTCTAAAAAACACACTGGCAGCACTTTCCCAAGGCAATTTTGTTGGTTCTTTGGCAGCCAAGACATAGTCACTATTTCGTAAAAACCGCAATTCAAAGTTATCTATTATTCTTCAGTCTTAGGAATAAATGAAAATACCACCGCTTGGGTCAGGTCTATCTTATTCTTTAACGAATAATCTTGATGCCATGTTCTTCTTCATACCATGTAGTCCAGCTTCTCAGATTTGCTGATGGTATAGAATGAATAAGTATGGTGACAGACACAACCCTGACACATACCATTCCTGATTTTAAACCAAGAAGCAGCCCTTTGTTCTCTTCAAAAGACTTATTCTAAGTTCTCAGTTCTGAGTGAGTACAATTAAGTCCCTTCTTCACAACATTATTCATCATTTATTATGATCCCTGCCATTGCACAATCTAAAAAGCAAAAGTAAACTTCTTTCTGAAAAGCATCTTGTATTTGGAGAGCATAAAGATTAGAGTCTTGGGAATACTGTGGGGCTGTCCTACTCTGTCCTACAGGGTCACTACAAAACCAATTCAACAACGAGTTTGGTTTTACTAAGGGCCAAGTACTACCAGGCAAAGTGCCAGAAACACAAGCAAAACAGACACAATCT